AGTAAAAGCAAATATTTTTTGATCCTACTGGAAAAAAAAAATTAAGCTTTTATAGATGAAGTTTTTATTCTTAATAGACAAATACATATATATATATATATATATATATATATATATATATATATATATATATATATATATATATATATATATATATGAAAAATTAAAAAATATGCTAAAACTACTAGTTTCTTGATAAGAATGCTTTTTGGCAAATTTTGCTTTGTGAAGAAATCTTTTTCTCTACAAAGCAAGAAATTAATATGAGATTATTGCATATTTTGCAAGCTATATTTACTCATGTCACTGTTAAAATGAATGTTTATCAATTAAGAACAGATAATTTTAGGGGGAAAAAATATTCACCAAGATGAAATTTTTTTAGTGACTAGTAGAAATATTCTTCTCTATGAATTACTACTACATGATTTTAGCTTAAATTTTAGTGTATGAAATTTAATTTTCTCATTTGATAAAACATCTTTAAATCATATTCTTCCTAACAACAATGCATTACATTACAAATCCTATCGCTTTCTAGAATTCATAGTTAGGTTGTTAATTTTAATTGTGCATCTTGTCACTGTCCTTTTGTATATGTAAAATTGACTTGAGATCCAATAAAATAATGAACTGTAAATTGATAAAAATTATTTCATTTTATTTATTTATTTATGAATCCAATATAATGAATATTTTTTCTACAAGTAATAAATAATTTTCAGCAATTTGTAGCAGCAATTAGACTTGTTTTTTTACAACTGGTGGAATGCCACAAAAAAAAAATCAAAGAAAGAACTCAAAATTCTCTTGAATTTTAGATTCTTATATACTAAAGATTATAAATATCTAGTTAGAAGGAAAGTTCTCATGGTTTCTAAATTGATTATTTAAAAACTGCAAATCCTCCCAACCAGATACTAAGTATCTCAAATCTTAGATGATAGGTCATGTATAGTTACTGCATATATATTTCCAGTATGTATTTTCCATTTTTGACTAAAGGTAGGTAATTGTGGAAAACAATTGTGCAGTACAATGTTTCATACTGAAGAATATTACTTTATCTTAAATTAGTCTATCCACAAAGTCTACCATCAATCAGAGAAAAACAATTTAGTAGCACAAGAGAAAGATAACAGACATTCATTGACATTTAAAGACAAAAGTAATTCTTTTTTTTAAATCAATGACTTTTTACTTCATAACTTAACCATAGGTTTATTTATAAATCATCAAATTTTTAAAGTGAGACTTCTACACTGGGAAACAATAAATTTTTTATTGTTTTATTATCAGTAGCATTTTAACCAAACAAAATCAATTGTAAATATTCTTTTTTAAATACTATTTGCATTTGCACATTTTTATCACAGCTTTATACTTCACTGATATGTGAAGTATTTACTTCTGTACAATTTTTTTTTTTTAAAAGTGTTTTAAACAGAAACTTGTCAGGATATCTGCATGTATCCTAAATTTATAGAAAGACAATACACAAAATTATATTAATGGTTGACATAACCAAAATAATACTTACTAAGCCTAACTTAGTATATTACAAAGTTAAATGAAGTAGCAATAATTATAAAAGAAATAATTGTTAATGTGGTATTGTAGTAAAGATAATAAAAAATGTGAGTAAAATAAATACTATATTGCTTGATTTTAAAAATATACCTCTATCCCATTTGTTATTTTGCATACCTATTTCATTCATTAAATGTAACAGAAGTAGTAATATTTAAATCAATGAAATTATTTAGTAATTAGTAAGAGTAATTATAGTCATAGCAATAATAACAATAGCAACAATAAAATAATGATTATAAAAATTGCATTTCAATAAAAGTATAACATTATCATCAAATGTCACCTATATAACATTCATCGTTTAATTTCTGTGAGAAGCAATAAAATTAATGTAGTTTTATAGACATCTCAGATATAAATTATATCTATTAATTATATAGAAGTGGGTGCTGATAAGGTCTCAGCCTAACCCATTTTTCAAAATCTAACCAGAATTTCTTTTTCTTGAAAGACCTTTTCAGCACCCACTTGTAAAGAGAGAATTCTTGGGATATTATATTTATTGCATATCTTAATTTAAATCTCACTCAGGTGTACTTCTTAAAATATTTGTACCTGGGCTTCTATGTCTGTATTTCTATAATTGCATGTAACAAAAATGGGTGCAATGCAAGTCATTAAGGTGTGCATGTATGCATGTGTGTTTAGATTATATACACACATATTGCAAGTATAATTAAGGGATTTGTTTTGTATATAAATGTGTGTTGTCAGCTATGTTAGTTATTATAAATACTTCTATCACATTCTCTGCAAGTCTGGTATTGATTCCAGTGAGTATGGGTTTTTACAGATGATTGTACCTCTCAAACGGACATTTATAAACATCGCTGTGTATGAATACATCCAGGCTGACTTACATTATTACATTATTTGTACAGGAAAGTGTATATACTTAGGAGTGTTTGTACAAAAATTACAAACATATTGAAATAAATATATGTCACTTATAAATATGAGTGTGTTTGTATATATAATAGATATGTATAGTTGTCTGCCTTTGGATAATCATCTGGAATTGTACCAGAAACAACTTCATTTTAAGGATCCTTTATATATTTTTCCATCTGTAAGCAGGTCTGTTAAAAGAAGCAAAACATTTTGTAAGTTTTATTTAGATATTTTTCATGTTTGCCAGTTTATCATTGCCAGTTTATTTTTTAAAAATACTGACACAATTTTTAAAATGGAGGATTCTCTGTCAAAGTTTGATTGTTTATCATTTTAAAACAATCTTATTTTTTTTTTCTTTTTATAATAGTCTGTTCTTGAAAAAGAGTACAAATTTTTAAGTCCATTTTTTTAAAATGAAAATTGTTTTTCTTTTTTGGAAAGTTCCTTCAGCAGCTTATTCAGCTTAACTGCAGACACAGAAAAATCATTAATCAAGGAAATCAGTTCATTTTGTTTTTTGGTTGTGCATTTTCCTATTAATCATTGGATGGTTGAATTTTTTTCTATTATCAGTTGTGTTATATAATCTCTGGGTCAACAACAGCTGAAAGAAAAGAAAAAAGAAATATTATTAGGGGCTTGAAACCATTTACCCATTATGCTCTACTAATAAAATAAATAGAAATCCTAAGAATTAAAAAAAAATTCTAATTTAAATTATGTTTTAGACAAGAGTCAATTTAACACTACTATTCAGACAATGGAACCTTTTCTTCATATTGACTGCTTAAAATATTTTGTTAACAACAGTAAATATACACAGTAGGAGTTAAGATGTCTGAACGATATTGGACAGGCTAATGACTCTTCTCAATGTTACAGAAGGTAGGCATAATTTTTCAACTTTGAGTTAATGTTAAGCATCATTAAACTGTATCAAACTTCTTATAATGATAAAAGATGTGAAAAAAGTATACTTAAATATTGGACGATTTAATTGTGGAAAGAAAGTGATTCAAGTTATTTAATGTGAAAAAAGTAAAACTATTGTTTACTAGCTAGCCTTTTGTTAACCAGATGTGCAAATGATGTAATAGTTAATGGCCTGGAATGAGAAATTGATGAGCTGAGTTCAAATTCCAGTCAAGTTTGTTACATTCTCTTTTGTGAAAATATCCTTGGGATCGGCATGAATCCATCCCCAGCTATAGGTTAAATAGTAGGGCAGACTGGGTTTTCAGCCTTGGTTAGAAACCAGTCTAGGAGAAGAAAAATTCTGAATTCCCAAACCTGAGGTGGAACTTGTTAGCGTTGAAATATGTGTTTGTCTAATGGAAGGAAAACCCCAACAGAAAGTTAGGTATGAGACAAGGCCTCACACTGTGGAACAATATGATTACAGAAAACTCCCCAGAGGCCTTATATTCAAAAAGGCACCAGGCATATAACATTCTGTTAACCACTGATAAATTTTAATTAAAAAAAAAAAAAAAAAAAAAAAACTACCTTGTATAGTTTTATTTAAATCTAAATTTTCTGTATAAAATGTTAAAATTTAGTTTTACTCAAATTCAATGTTAGTGTTTAAATGTTTTTTCCAGTAGAATATTATGCAAAAAGGAGATTTGTGTATTAAATATTCAAGAAGTAAACAAAAAAAAAAAAATTGTGTTATAAGTTACAATATTCTTTTCATTTTTATACAAACTCCATAGATAATACAAATGTTTTCAATACATTGAATAAAGAAAACTTACTTAAATTCTTTATATTTCTATATGTTAAAGAATATTTAGGATGTGAGGTTAGTCTAACAGATGTTGGCATGGAAAGTGGAATTGGTGAGCCAAATTCAATATTCTGGAGTTAGTCACTTTCACACTATTGCTCTTGAAAAAAGTCATGAATCTGTCTAGTTGGATAGAATAAGTTCACTAGTCTTGGGGGTGGGGACAATCAATCTAGAATGACAACTCTGATTTCAAAACCATTCTAATAAATTATGGAACTCTATCAAGTTATGCTTGCCCTAAACAAACACTCACTGCTGCTATGGATGCAGTACATTTAGTGCAGCTACAACCCTAATTGGTTACAGGACTTGTGATTGGGATATTAAAGAACATTTTTGATTTTATAGAAATATAACAGATAAAACTGATATGTTAGATATATAAAAATAATATATAGATGTGTAATTTAAACTGTTATAATACCAAAAAATAACTATTCTCAGGAAGTAGTTTCAGATTTAATTAAAAATGGTTCAATTTTAGATTGAAATTATTTTGAAACCAAGTTTGTGTCAAGCAGATGACATTTATCAAAAGTCCCTTTAGTCCAATATTGACAGAGCAGTTCTACTTTTCCATATATTTTCAGAAGTAATTTTTGTTTTGATAATTGTATTTCATATTTTCTATGATTGATTGATTTTTTTTTTTCACTATTTATCAACCCTTTGTGGGTTATTTAAAGCCAGAACATATTTCAGATTCTAGGTTACTTAAAAATACCTGGGGTTCCTAAGTAGTCCCTCATCTATGTACTGTCTGGCTCAACACTGCTTAACTTTGGTGATCTAATGAGAACCAGTGCTTTCAGTGTGATTTGACCATAAGCTATTTTCTATGATGCAAAATGGTGTTTAACATCGATATAAACAAGATTGATTTTGCTTCACAATATAACATCATTCCAACATCAAATATTTGCTAAAATCTCACCCTTTTTAAAAACAATTTTCCTTTCATAAAGAATCACTTGATTATGATGTATTTTTTTTCTTCAAAAACTGGCTTTTTAATTTTGTATTTTTATCATATTTAGCAATCTGTATCTCTGAATTCTTCACAACATAAAACTCTTTAAGGCACATATCTTGGTATTTTTGCAAGACATTTTTTCCTTTTATCTTATAAAGTCTTAAAGCTTTAAAACACAAAATGAAGTACCAATTTTATAATGAATTAAATAGATTTATAAATAAGAAAGAAAAGAAAGTAGATGCCTTCCAAAACAGGATGATTAATAAACTTGTTTTTGTGGGAAACAATATTCTTCCTCTCTTCATTTCCCTAAATTTGGCTTTATGCCATATTAAGCTAAGATCAATAAATAGTAATAATTAAAATACAAATCACGTATTATTACAGTTAAGAGTTTAGCTTATACTGGTGTAAGTTTATTCATTATTAAAACCTTAATAGTGTTTAAGCTTGTGGTACAACTTGAACTTAAAAAATCAGAACAGTAACTACTGTTGGTTGTAAGGTGCCACTATATAGTGTAAGGGTTAACAAGCTTGTCTCAGATCTTTACTAATGAATTTGATCCTTACTGGGTACTCTTAACTTGTGACAAAACTAAGCCATGTTTAGTAAATAAAGGTTGCATCATCATAGTGTAATGGTCAACAAGTAAGACTTGTAGATCATTAGTGGTAAATTCAAATTTTCACTGGGTGCTTCAAAGTGTTGGCCTTGTACCAAAACTAAGCTAAACTTAGTAAATAATAATTAACACCTTGATATAGTATAATGGTTAGTGAGCCAGTCTCACAGATCATGACTCCTGAGTAATGAGTTCAATCCTCACTGGGTGCTCCATATTTGTGGCAAACTAAGGAAACAAGGTACTTCTAAGATTTTTCCAATCTTTGATTCTCTGGATGTGAAACAAAGAGAAAAATTGAAATCATCCAAAACATTTTTCAATTATCTCAACTAAAACCATTCTAATATTTCATCTCAGACAAGCATCTTGAGAAATTAGAAAGTAGTAAAGAAAAGAAAAAAAACTGTAAACTCATAATAGCAATAAACGCCTGCAATAGGTTTCTTCTGTCTCTTGATCGCAACACTTGTAGCAAAATCACAGTTCAAATGATAGTCTGTCATAACAGTCCAACAGGCAACGTACAGACAAAATGGGGTCACAAATCCAAACTACACTTCTCACCAGCAAAAACAAATGTTTGTCTATCAAGCTCAGAAAAAATCCTTCTGCCGTAAGCGAAAAACAATTGCTTTTATTCACCAAGAGATTTTTCTGATAGGCCACGCCATTCAGGGGAGGAAAGAGTAGTAAATTTTTGCTAACTACTTTCGGTCATTTTTCCTTCAGTAGATTGCACACAAAAGACAGACACTTTTTGGAGGTATGTGATTATCTTTCTCACTACAATTTTGATTTTTTATATATATATATATATATATATATATATATATATATATATATATATATACACACACACATACATACATACATACATATGCACGTATACACAATTTATTTAAGTTTAGTTTGTTGTCTACATCCTGGCATTTCAAACCAACAAGATCAGTCTGTTTATTTTTTGTATTGTATTTCTTCAATTTTCAAACAAGGTGTTGCACTTGCAAACCAAAATTTGGGAAAAAATGTCCATAATTCATGCTATTGCTCTGTCCCTTGATCATTTCAGTCATTATCAAGAACTGAATGTTGTCAGTATAATAGACAAAACTCTGTTGGCGACATCCTATATGTAGATAATACCAAAACACTATACAGCAATCACTGCAAGGAAGGACTCAAAATACTTGAAACTATTATTATATAAAAGAAACACAACACATTTAATATCTTTCACCACAGAGGACAGTATTTTAATGTATGTATAAAATATTTAATAAGCATATAAAATAATAATTTGATACATTCATTTTCAGTTCAATCAAGTTCTGTGGGATCATCCTGCACATGATATCACTTGTATATTTGAATTTGAAATGTATCACTCTAAAAAACCAGGATGCAGCCAACAAAATCTTGTCTGTCATACTGACAACACATTGTTCTTGATAATGACTGAGCCAGTTGAGAGTGTTTGAAATGGTATGGACTTTGCAATTTTGGTTTGGATATATTTGAAAATTGGAAGGATACAATAAAAAATCAAACAGACAAACCTTAGTTGAATTTTATTTGTTTATATATATATATATATATATATATATATATATATATATATATGTATATACACTATATACCAAATTATTATCGAGATAACTTTTTTCTAATATTTCAAAAACCCTCCAATCAATTCATGCACAATTTTCACACAATGTTGGCAACACTAACCTACGCAATCACTGATCTCCAACAACGAAATGAAAGGAAAAATGGGATTAGAAAATTACAAAAATTACACTACCCATCAATTTCTAATCCCATTTTTCCTTTCATTTCGTTGTTGAATTGTTACCTGATGATCCAGAGTCCTTTAAAAAGGATTTTGGTGAAATAAATTATTGTAATGGTACCTTAAAGTGGTCTGTTTTTCATTAAATAATTATTTATATATATATATATATATATATATATATATATGCTATTGTTGTTTGTTATTAAAATGCCTTCCATTAAACTGAAAACTTGAGTTGTGTTCTTAAATTGTCTCATCAGATTGAGACTTTCATGTGGATGTTATACATGACACCAAACCTGCTCAGCAAAATATAAACTGTGAATCGTATACAACCACTTTCTCAGATCAATATTTAAAAATGGCTTTGAGCAAGTGAAGACCATCTTCGTTTATCGGACTGGTGCTACAAAATCACAAATAAAGAACTGTACAAAAGAAACCACATCACTTGAGAACTTTCAACAGCAGCAACAACTAAAAAGGACATCACATGTAACTCAAAGAGAAAATAAGGACAAAATCAAGATCTTGACATTCGACATCACATCAGACAAAATGTTAGGAAGGAAGCCCCCATCAGTACTGGAAAGAGCAATAATGAATACCAAACTTTAGAAACCTGTTTTCCTCAAAAATTGTTTTTATAGAAAAATTTTATAAATTTCAACTGAAAGTAGTACTGGATACTAGATCGATGAATACCAAATATTTCTTTATAAGGAAATGATTAATATTACCATTACAATTCTAAAGATGCAACTAAATTAGAGTAATTACTAGAAAACTATTCCCAAATTAGTATATAACAAATTTTATGATAACTCTGGTTAAAGTCACAAAATTATTTGATTGCTATTTTTGTGAAAAATTTAAATTTTATTGTTTTAACAGAAAACTTAAGTCAAAATTCATTTTGAATCAAAATATTTTGAACCTGTTACTTATTAAGCGTTCAATTCCATGATAGTATCTAAGCACTATCAAAAAAATGTCTACTCTGATAAAAATAATGACTTAGTTTTTCATTCTAAATTATCAATTTCAATTAACAAATGCTAAATTTACTTTTCTTGGCTATTCTTAGAACTTTCTGTTAACAAAAGTTTTTTTGAATTATTCTGTGCCATCAGCATATCGGCTCCTAATACTTATCAGTTCTAAAACCAAAACGGCCTCATACTACATTGTACTGGCTGTGAATATAACTATGAATCATACCATGGAAATGAAAATATGTTGATGGCATTAGAGTTCTTTTTGGAGTAGGGAAAAAAATAAAAATAATTTTAATGAAAATAGCATTTTAACATTTCTTTAATTTTGTACAGATTAAACAACAATGTAATTACATTTTGTACATTTTAGGTTGATAAAATTATCCTATTTGATAACATAAGACTATCTCTAGATTTACATTCTATATTATGGTATTTAGAAATCTACAACTTTTACAAGGAGTGAGGATAGGAACAAGTGGTAATATTGTGGCATCTGAGTAAACACTAAACTTACAGATACTTCCATTTCCCATCCAAGACACAAAAGAAAAATTTGGAGCCATTTTTTTGGAAAAGAAAAATGGCTAGGTATCTTTTATGCTATCAAATACAGTAAGCATAAAGAGAATTAAATCATATAAACAAGTTTTTCAGTTTAGTATATTTTCCTCACATAATAGAATTTTTATTCATAAGAATTTAATTCCAAAATGCACACACTCTTTGTTTGTTAATAACTGATACATTCATCTTTGTATTATTAAGAGGAAATATTATAACCAAAATTAAAAATATTCTAAATTTAAATGATAAATTACTTAAACTACTCAAAATGACCAAGAGAGTGAGTGTACAGATTCAAAGTGTGTGTGTATATATATATATATATATATATATATATATATATAGTAGTGATGGAGGAGTGATTATTTTTTAATATAGAAATTTTATTTGTGTCTTTTTTTCAATGCTAATTTTCTTTAACGAAAGCTTATTTTTTTTAAATCTCAGATGTTTCCATGATATGGTAAAATCCAAATATTGACCTTACAGTATTTACTTATAATTCATTTATTTGCAATATATACATACATACAGACAGACAGATACACAGAAAAAGGACACTTGTAAATCTGTATAAAACTGATTTCTTTTTCTTTTCTAAAATTGTTTGCACAATTTATTCACGGGGATTACCGTGCAACGCTGTAGGTTTCATGAACAAGTTGTAAATATCGATGGCAGTCAAAAGCCCGAAGATCAGTCATCAGAACTTGACATGCAAATTATGTGGTTATCGTTGACACTGTGGCCATTGTTTCCGAAGCCTAATCCTGAGTTGATGGATGGCAAGGCAGTATATGGAAGGCCGCTTTTCTCAGCATCCGGGGACGTCATATAGTGCTCACCCTTATCTTTACTGCATGTATG